CTAGGAGTTGAACTTCAGGGTTGTGCAATAATTCTGTATTTGACTTTTGAGGAACTACCACACCATTCCCTCCAGTAGCTGTACTGTCTCACCTTCTCAGCAACAAAGAATGAGGATTCCAGTTTCTACACATGCTTACTACACTGATTTGTTCTGTTAAAAATGTTGTAAGATATGATGGCTCAACAGGTGAAGGCACTTGTCACCAAGCTTGATAACCTGAGTTCAATACCAGGACCCACATGGTGGAGAACCAACTCCTGAAAGTTGTCCTCTGACCTCCACAGATATTCCACCCACCCCAAAAATGTAATTTTAAAAGAAAAATTTATAGCTGGGCGTGGTGGCGCATGCCTTTAATCCCAGCACTTGGGAGGTAGAGGCAGGCGGATCTCTGTGAGTTCAAGGCCAGCCTGGTCTACATAGTGAGTTCCAGGACAGCTGAGGCTACAGGGAGACCCTGTCTCAAAAAGACCCCAAAAAAAAAAAAGAGAGAGAGAGAGAAATTTACTTTTAAAAATGTTGTAGAAGAGGTCAGGTGTGGTGCACATGCCTTTAATCCCAGCACTTGGGAGGTAGAGGCCTGCCTCTACCTCACCAATCTCTATGAGATTGAGGCCAGCCTGGTCTACATAGTATATACCATGCTGACTTTGGTTACAGAGTGAGACCCTGTCTCAAAATACCATAAAAACAAAGGGACTCAGAGAAGGCAGGGCAAGAGAGTTCCTAACTTGCTCAGACCCTTGGGGAGAATGGGTGTTAGTGTTGTATTACTGGCATGGACCAGCAGGTGTCAGGCATTAGGGGCACACTCTGCTGGATTCCCAGGCTGGAGTCTACACATAAGAATTGAGAAAAGGGACCATCAAGGGGAAGAGGACCCTGGGCCCCTCCACCCCACTGTTGGTCCTGGGACTATATGCTTCCCCCTCTTAATCATGGGGATTTTCACAGCTGGCTTCAATTCTGCTTTTCCACTTATAGGCAAATAGCTCAGACACTCTGGGGCCTGGGAGATATAGAATTCCCTTCAGGAATGGGGTCTGCACTCAGCACCCTGGAGAGGAGAGGTGAGGGGAATCTGATATTTCCTGTTAGTGTGTAGGGTTGTCCTTGTCCCCCAAACCCTGGAAAAACTTTACTTAAGGTCAGTCACCCTGTATGTGATGAGAACAAGTCTGAGTGAGTAGAGTCTACACCAGAGTTGAGGCCACCCCATTTCTATCTGAGGAGTGTCTCAGTCCAGGCTGGGGTTCCAGGCCAACTCTGCCTACATCCCTGAATCCCTTCCAGCTTCCCTGATGGCATGTGGACTGTGTAATCTCTGGAGGAGGCCAGCATGAAGAAGGCCCTACTATGCTTTCTGAGGCCCTGCTCTCTTCCAGTCATTTACTCTGCCTGTCTCTGTCACCAATGCCAGTTGTCTGGGAACTTTTTTAGGGAATCCATTCAGATGGAAGTGGCTGCTTAAGCCTTGAGAATAAAAGCACAAGAGCCCCTCCACCCACATGCATGTTCGCACCTAAGCTGGAGAGAAGCTCAGCTTAGCTTTCATGGCTTGGTGTGGTGAATGTTCACTGTGGGAGCGCAGGGGGCGGGGGGTGGGGGCGTTCTGTGCTGCATCCACCCTTGGGACTCTAAGGAAATTTGTCCCTCCTTGTGCTGCCCTCAGGCAGGATGGGGCTGGGTAGAACTCTTCTTTTTTTCTTTTCTTTTATACATAATATATTCAATGTATACATTTAACGTTTTTAACATTTATTTATGTGTGTGCATGTATGTGCCCCAACAGGGCACATGTGGAGGTCAGAAGACAACTTGGGGGAGTTTATTCTCTCCTTTCACCATATGTGTTCCAGGGATATAACTCAGGTAATCAGTCTTGGAAGCAAGTGCCTTTACCAACACTAAGCCATCTCACTGGTCCCCAGAACTCTCTTCTTTGCTAACTTGGGGTGTAAAAGCCTATAGTCCTACTATAGGAAATTCTAGCTTAATTGATTAAGGGTGAGGCCAGCCTGTGGTTGAGGACACAAGAGGGTGACAGAGAGAGACCCTCATGGGACCACTCAAGGCAAAGATGTTTCAAGCTTCTGATGTGCAGGAACTTTCTGCCCTCTAAGGGGGAGGGTACAGCCTTGGGGCTTGGGGCCAAACAGGATTCACTGCTAGTTGTGTAGTCCTGGGTGAAGCCTTGATTTCCTCTTCTGTAGAGTGGGAACAGCAGTGCTACGTGGCTCCAGTTTTGTTCCCAGGATTCAGTGAACAAAGATGTAAAGCCCCAAGGGCTATACCTGCCACAGGCAGACAGGAGTGGTATAATATTATTACTTTATTCTGCTGTGCAAGACATTAGAATGGAAATTTGGGGGAGGGGGAAGAGAGGAGACCTAAGGGGCCAAAGGGAAATGCCAGCTCCTGACAGCCTGTTGAGGTGAGTCCTCCTCTGGCATGGTCTATGACTGGAGACTGGTTAGCCTAAGCCCTGTCACTACAGGGTTTTCTGGAGCAGGCCACCTGAGCTGGAGAGCAGAGAAATGATAGGCAGACAGCTGCAAGTCTCTGCCACCTTCAGGCCTCAGGAGTGTCCAGCCTCATTCCTGGGTACTTCACAGTATCCACTCTACTTTTCCTCTGTAAGACAGATAAATGCCAAGTGAAGAGGGAAAAGAGGCACATTGCCAGAGCAGAGCCCAGGGAAGGAGGGTGATTTACTGCCTCATTCTCCTTTATAGTCCTAAAGCGCTGCTGCTTCTCAGCATCTTTGTGTCCATTTCTCATCTGCTCTGTCCACTGTCCTCAGTAGGCAGGGTAGGGCTTTCCCCTCACCAAGAGGAGCAAGTGGCGCATGTAGCCAGACTGTCATATCCATCACTATCAATGCCCATTGTCTGCATATTCTTTACCCCAGGAGGAAATTAAGGGGGGGGGTTGGGCATTTATGGTAAGGAGAGTGACTTCATAAGAAGGCCAAGTTCTCTAATATTAAAGGCCATGTGATATATATATGTATATATATATATGTATATATTATAAACTTACTTTTGGACAGTTCTGTCAATATTGAGTGAATACTTGTTATAATCTATTAGTTTTAGTTTAGCTTGATTGTAGGTATCACCCTCCTCCCCCAGGAAAAAACTGCCTAGATTCAGATCCAGTATTCAATGTATGTTTTCTGTGTGCCTCACACTGTGCTAAGTGCTTATGAGACACCATCCATGTAACCCTTCCATGAGACTTAAGAGTAGGTATATAGGCAAAAACACTGAAGCTCAGGAAAATCAAGAGATGGACTGTTTGCCATCACAGCAAGGAATGACAGGTATAGAGGGGTTAAGTCCAGCAAGGTGAGCTAGTTAGACTTTGGGAGGATAGCTTCAGGGAGACTATGGAAGTGGTTCCTCGGGTATCAAAGACCAGAGTCTAAGGAGAGCCCTGAGGCATAAACACCTTTGGGAGCTCCAGGGGACATAAGGGAACATGCAAAGCCCAGCCAGGAGGGCCTGAAGAAGTCCCATGGAAAGCCTCCTTGCTCCTGAGTTTGGGCTGTTGTTATGGGTGGTATTTTCTAGTAACTTTGCAAGTGACCTCTGCGTATAGTTGGCTCGGGCTATTTCCGGTTCTGGTGCTTGTGACTGGGATGCTTTCTTTGTGTTTAATCCCTTCCCCAACATAGAACTCACCCCACCCTGTCCCCCAATGATCTTTCCCAGCCTTGCTTCCTGTTGTGTGGTGATAAGATATAGAGACTCAGCTGTAGACTGATCAAACCAATCCCAACAAGCGCAGTGGCCTGGGCTAGCAATTTCCAGCCTACCCGCACAGCCAGCCTATCTTCTTTGCCCTTCTCTTCCTAGCTCTCTTTCCCCTCATCCTTTCTCAGGCCTGTTCTGTCTCTCTGAGTTGTATGCTGCCCTGATGTAGTCAGGAAGTCTGCCTGTCTGGTGGGGAGAACAGAGGCTCTTGCTTTCTCTTTTGCACAGTCCTCTTCTCAGTTGGGCAGCTGGTAGGCCTCAAGCTCCCAGATTGCTCCCTGCTTCTCTTGGCCTGAGTTACCTCTGGAACTTTAGTCCTCAGGATCTGCCTAGCAGGAGTGGGTGCACACTTTTCCAAGTTCTTGGAGACTGGGAAAGGTCAAGTGTTCCCACCATCATGAGTTGGAAGAGATTACTGATGCCCTTAGAGAGCTGGAAGGTAACAGAGGGGCCTAGGAAAGATGTAGGTGAAGCTTCACTAGTGAAGAGAGGATAGGAGGGCTGGAAGGCATGGGACCCAAGTATAGGCTTTGGTAACTTTAAGGGAGAGGAATGCTCAAGGCAGGAACCTTATTAGGGAGACTGAGTCCAGAAGACAGCCATCTCAACTCTGAAAGATCTAATCTGAGACTCTTCAGTGGGGCCTCAGATCTGCCTGGTCCCCACAGCAGAGCAGCAAGACTTCTAGGTCAGAGGTTCTGTCTTTTCTTTTTTAAAAAAAATTATTTTATCATTTTTATTTTATATGCATGAATCGTTGCCTGCATGTGTGTAAGTGCACCTGTATTGTGCAGTGCCTGCAAAGGTCCAAAGAAGACATTGGATTCCCCGAAACTGGAGTTGGACAGTTGTTAGCTATGATGTGGGACCCGGCTCCTCTGCAAGAGCAGCCAGTGCTCTTAACTGCTTGAGCCATCTCTCCAGCCCTGAGGTTCTGTCTTTTCATAGCTGTGTGTCCTCAGATCTCTTGCTGGACCACCTCAATTCAAAGGCAGAGTGGATCTGCCTAGACTTCATTTTAGGGGTGCCCTGGGGCTCAGGGAGGGAGAATCCTTTATAAGAGTCAGGCAGGCATGCAGCTGTGGGAGGCTTGCTGTAGAGGTTTAGATGTTTCCCTGGTGTCCCCTTCATCCTGCATCCTGTGTCCAGGTGGAGAGGCCACACCCAGGACTGTCCAGGACTGCCCCCTCCCATGCCTCATCATTTATTCATTCTTCCTCTGCTTGCCTTCTTCCCCAGGGAGACAAGGGAGACCTCGTGGCCCTGAGCCTCCCCTCTGGCCCTGGCCATGGTGACACTGATGGCCCCATCAGCCTGGATGTGCCAGATGGGGCCCCAGACCCTCAGCGGACGAAGGCTGCGATCGACCACCTGCACCAGAAGATCCTGAAGATCACTGAACAGATCAAGATCGAGCAGGAGGCGCGGGACGACAATGTGGCAGAGTACCTGAAGCTGGCCAACAACGCCGACAAGCAGCAGGTGTCGCGCATCAAGCAGGTGTTCGAGAAAAAGAATCAGAAGTCGGCCCAGACCATCGCCCAGCTGCACAAGAAGCTGGAGCACTATCGCCGGCGCCTGAAGGAGATCGAACAGAATGGGCCCTCGCGGCAGCCCAAGGACGTGCTGCGCGACATGCAGCAAGGGCTGAAGGACGTGGGTGCCAACATGCGTGCCGGCATCAGTGGCTTCGGGGGTGGTGTGGTGGAGGGTGTCAAGGGCAGCCTCTCTGGCCTCTCACAGGCCACCCATACTGCGGTGGTGTCTAAGCCCCGGGAGTTTGCCAGCCTCATCCGCAACAAGTTTGGCAGTGCTGACAACATCGCCCACCTGAAGGACCCTCTGGAAGATGGGGCTCCTGAAGAGGCAGCCCGGGCGCTGAGCGGCAGTGCCACGCTGGTGTCCAGCCCCAAGTACGGCAGCGATGACGAGTGCTCCAGTGCCAGTGCCAGCTCTGCTGGGGCAGGCAGCAACTCCGGGGCTGCACCAGGAGGTGCACTGGGGAGCCCCAAATCCAACACTCTTTATGGTGCCTCTGGAAACCTGGACACACTTCTGGAGGAGCTGCGGGAGATAAAGGAAGGTCAGTCACACCTGGAGGACTCCATGGAGGACTTGAAGACTCAGTTACAGAGGGACTACACCTACATGACCCAGTGCTTGCAAGAAGAGCGCTACAGGTAGGTGCTGCTTGGGTGGGCAGCTGTAAGCAGGCCCACCCACCAGGAGGCTCAGAGCTGTGGAGGGGGATGGCGGAGCATCTAGAAGGATCCTATGCTGCCAGGAGCCTTTAAGCTTCCTCTAGAAGAAAGGTTCTGACCATCTCAGGTTGCTTTAGGCAGATCTGCCTGGGTGTCATGTGCTTAGTGTACAAAGGAGAAACTGAGGTAGGCACCAGCTCTATGGCCATGCTTCTCTGGAGAGACTCTGCTTGGGGAGCACTCTGGAAGCAGCTACTTGGGTTCAAATCCCAGCTGTTATTTTTGATTGAACATAGCAACTAGCACTCTGCACCATGAAGTGAGGGTGACACTGACCCTGACCTCACAGAGTGGCGAGACTGAATGAGTCATGCTATGAACGCAGAGTGTGGACAGGTAGCACAGACACTGGAACACTCTGTGGAGGCTCCTTTGGCCAAGAGATGAGTTGGGGTCTGGTCTCCCTCCTTCCTTCCTATCCTTGGCTGCTTTGCTCTTTGGTTCTTTCCCTCTGGGATTCAGGGGGAACTTTTCCTTAGTTAGCACTTCTTCTTTCCATATGACAGTTTGTGAATTTGAGGGGAATTCCACTGAAAACCAACCACCTCTACCTTATAGTCGTCTTTTGAGACTTGATACTTTTCAGAGCAGGGGTTACATCCTTTCTACCCCAGTGTCCCTGCTATTCAGAGAGCATCTTAGCCAGGGTTTAAGAGCCCAGCTTGAAGTCATTCAATATTTTTTGATAGGGTCTCAGTATGTAGCCCTGCCTGGCCTGGAACTCACTATGTAGACCAGGCTAGCCTCCAACTCATAGCGCTCCATCTGCCTCTGCCTCCTGAAGGCTGGGATTTCCACCATGCCTGGCTGCAATCATTATAGTCTTAACTTCTTCATCATGAGACATGTGATCCCAGGCAGATTCCTTAACCTCTGTGTCTCACTCCCCATCTGTCCAATAGGGATGACCTAGTATTCTCTCATGGGGCTATACAAGGATCCCATGAGGTAAGGTGGTTAAATGCTAGCACAGGGCTGGCACACAGAAGTGCTGTCCTGGGGGTTAAGATCAGAACAGGACTGGACATGTGAGTACTGAGACATGTGTTGATCCTGGAGAGAGAAGAGAAGCTCAGGAGCCAAGAAGTGGTAACGCTTCTTCTCTTTCCCCCAGGTATGAGAGGCTAGAGGAGCAGCTGAATGACCTGACTGAGCTTCACCAAAATGAGATGACCAACCTAAAGCAGGAGCTGGCCAGCATGGAGGAGAAGGTGGCCTACCAGTCCTATGAGAGGGCCCGAGATATCCAGGTATGCCCTGGGACCATACTGGGGAGGCCACGATGAGCTGACAGAGATGGCAGAGGCTGCTCCATTCATGGGGCAGATAGACAGGCACAGGATACCACTGACAACACTGGTGGGGAGGCCATGTCACATGGGTATGATGGGCAGAGACTGCTCCATCCACAGGGCAGATAAACACAGGATGCAGGAGAGGGCAGTGCTGGTGGGTAGAGAGAGGAGTATGCACTGTGCAAAAGGCAAACCAATGGGCATGGGCTACCCGTGTTCACTATATCTTTGGTGGTAGCTTTGCAGATGGATAATTTTCATTTTCAGGTACTAGTCTGCCTCAGTGTAGAGCTGGAATCAGGACAGCCAGCTTTCAGCATATTAACCAAGACTTCCATTTCCTCATACCCTCACCAAATAGTCATCAGTAAAGAGTTCTGTCCCTAACTGCATCTGATCAAGCCTATACCCCTCTTGGCCTTGCAGAGGCCAGTGTTACCACCTTCTTGGTGGAGTAGCATAGTAGTCTGTTCTCCTTTGCTGTAACAAGTTACATGAGGCTGAATAATGTGGAAAGAGAAGAGATTCACCAAGCTCACCATTCTAGAAGTCCAGGAGGAGTATGGTAACAATCTCAGCTGAGCTCTGGTACGGACCTCATAGCTTGAGCCTCCGATTGGCAGGAGCTGTGTAGAGGAGTTACATAAGGAGGCAGAAAGCCAGAGAGATTTGGGGGTCAGAAGTTCATAGGAACTAACTCATTAGTTAGCTTTAATTCTTCTAAGGGCAGCACCACCAGAAACCTAGCTTCTTTGCACTAGTGCCCCTTCTACAGGTTCTGCCATTCCAACATTGCCATAGGAGGAGCCAAGCTTCCAGCCCATGAGCCCCTGGGACTCATACTTAACCCTATTCAAACCAGATCAGGTAGGGAGGGCTCAGTCTAGGATCCCACATACCACCCTCTATCCCCTGTAGGAGGCCGTGGAGTCCTGCCTGACCAGAGTCACCAAGCTGGAGTTACAGCAGCAGCAGCAGCAGGTGGTACAGTTGGAGGGTGTGGAAAATGCCAATGCACGGGCTCTGCTGGGCAAGTTTATCAATGTGATCCTAGCACTCATGGCCGTGCTGCTAGTGTTTGTGTCCACCATTGCCAACTTCATCACACCCCTCATGAAGACTCGCCTGCGCATCACCAGCACTGCCCTCCTGCTCCTCATCCTCTTCCTCCTCTGGAAGCACTGGGACTCCCTCACCTACCTCCTGGAGCATGTGTTGCTGCCCAGCTGAGCAGTCGCCACCCACCCTATGCTCTCTGGACTCCACTGGTCCACCCACACTTATCTAGGAGGGGCCCCAGGACTCCCAAGTCCCTTGGACTTTGTCACATGTCCTGTTTGGCCTCTTGCCCTAACCCTTTCAGCAGCTCCTGCCCCTTGTCTGCACTGCTTCTGTCCGTACCTTCTCCCTTTTGGCCTGAAGGTTGCTGAGAGAGTGGCCCAGGCTGGAGGGAGTGGGGACATGCAGGGCCAAATGGAACAGAGGACAGCAGGGCTGCATTGTTTGGATATTTACAATCACATGGGACTTTTCTGAGCTGACCTGGGGGTATCCTAGGTTAGGAAGACCACTAAGATAGAAGGCTAGGTCTCTGCCTCAATTTCCCGGGGAGAAGAGCCACCATTGGGTCCCACCAGAAATGGTCTGGTTGAAAGCCAGTAGGAGGCTGTGCTGACCCCAGAGAGTGCAGGAAGGGGAGGGTCCCCAGCCTTGAGGTGCTTCCAGGGCCAGAGCAGCTTAGAGCAGCCAATGGGAGCGCAGCTCACCCTCCCTCTCCCTCCACTTCTTCCCACTGAGCTGATTTGAGGCTGATTTCTGGACACTGGATTGTGGTATGGATTTGATTTGTATTTTTCTTGCTCATCTTTCTGCCTGCCTGTCACTAGATGAGCTGTTTTCTGGAAAACGGGCCCCAAGGGCCCTGGGCCTCTAGTAGCAAGTTGGGGTTCTATTTATTATATATTTATTTGTTTATTTATTTATTCATTCCTACCTTTCCCTTCTGCCCCTCTGGGCTCCAGGGAGAGGACCTGCCCATCCTCCCTTTGAGGCAGGGCTTATTCTTGACTCATCACACTCCATACCATGTCGCCTCTGGTGTTCCTGGCAGAAGAAGGGAGACATTGTCACCAGCCTTCTCTCCCAAGCAGCCCCACCAGTTGGGCAGGAAGAACATGGCCTCTTTTATATATCTATTCATTTTGTATGTGTGTATTTGTGAGGAAGGGGGTGTTTGTTGCTTTACTTTTTTAAGGCTCTGGAGTGTTGTGTATGATTCTGTACTTCCCAGCCTCCCCATGGGCCCTTCCAAGCACTGAAAGGATTTCTCTGAACAGGAGAGAGGAAGCCCCTGGAGCAGGAGAAGCAGTGCCTGCCAGATGTTGTGGACATTCCTGAGAAATAAATAGCCTCAATTTTCAAACCATCCTGTCTGCTGTTGGTCGATTAAGCTGTCTCCATGAAAACCATGGTGGTCTCTGCACACCCAAGCATTGTGGGCAGCACAGGCTGGGTCTCACCTGGTGGCCTGAGGCCTCTCCTTCCTCCAGGAGACAATGCTGAATGAAGCATATCCACCCAGGCACCTTGCTTTGAGCAGCACTCTTGCCTATGTGATAAGACGCCCATCCCACCCAGCCCCAGCTTTGCTGGAGCACTTCCCAGGAGTGTCCCATAGCAGTCATGCCCAGTTGTAACCACAAGACGTCAGCAGAGTCCTTATTATAAACCCTCTCAAGATTCTGTCCCAAACAGAGGTATCTATTGGGGTTAGCTTGGCCTTGTCAGTGCAATCCAGCCAGGGTAGGAGGACCTGCTCTCCAGGAGCTACAGTGTGATCCTCTACAGAGAGGCCCAGCACTTAGTATCGTCTCCGTGGTTGTGGCACCCAGTCCTAGCAGTGCCAGTGCAAAGTGCTGGGTTCCCCGCAGGAGCTGTGTAGGTGTTTACAATAGGCCCTGTTGCCTTAGAAGGAGGAAATACTGACTTCCAGGACTGTGGCAACAGGGGGTCTCTGGTAAAAGTACCAGGCTAGAGCCTTTGGAATTTGTGCCCTGCAACTCGCTCTCACCCCTTCTCCGAACCTCAGTTTCCAGATCTGTAGAGTAGGATAAATAATGACCACTGTTCATGTCAAAGGGCCCTGGCATTCTATGGTTCTGTGGGTCCCACAAGCTAACATTGCACCTGTGCCTGAGGCCTCAGGCTCCAGGGAACTGCAGCAGTCAGGGACAGTGCCCAGTGACTAGAGAGGACACAGTGCTGGTGCCACAGGGAGGTTGGCATTGGCAATCTAACTTCGCCCTCTGTACTGTGTAGGAGTTTGGCCAGGCGGCCTTCCAACAGTACCATTCCTGAACTTTGCACCACCCCCTTCTCTTCCAACCCTAGCAGTACCTCTCTTGGGGGCCTGCAGGTGGCCTAGAGCCCACATTCCTGGGCCCCAGGTAGGGGGTGGCTGCTCCTGGCTGCACATTTCCTACATTCCTCCCCAAGGTCAGATGCCTTCCCAGAATTGGCTCTGAATGTCACTGCCAGCTGCAGCCCACATTGAAAGAGAGGAGGAAGGAAGGAGAGGCCATTCTTGGTCAGTCCTGAGGCTGCAAAGTAAATAGCCCAAGGGATAGGGGAGCAACCACATCTTCTGCATAAAAGACAGACAACATTGACTTGTTTTCCTCATTGAGAAGACAATGGGACATCTAGCAAAGCCCTGCCATCCTGGAGCTCACTGAGGTTTCCTTGTTTGTGTCTGTTTGTGCTCCTCTGAAAAGGTGAATTACCCTGACCTCCTGCTCTCCCCTGGGGGGTGGGGGGAAGAGGAGAGAGATTTGATTTGCCACCTATAGACAGGCCCTTCCTAGAGCATCTGCCCTACAAGAGATGGCCCCACCCCTAGGGAGCTGGAGGGCTCAGCCAGGCTGGCACACTCCCTGCTGCCTGGGTTCCCCAGGGTTGGGGCAGCTGAGAAGAGATGGGGCCTCCTGGCTCCTTGGCAGGTGATTGGCCTGGAACAGGCGTGCCTGCTGTGTGCCCTACAGAGCCAGCCTGTCCTGCAGTCTCATGGATCATAAAACCTCAGCAGGTATAGGTTTGGCAAGCCCCAAAGCCAACAGACAGCCCATGCCAGCAAGAAGTGACTTTGTGACTTGCTCTACAGCTAGTCTAGGATGCAGCTGATTGGTCTGTGCTGCAAAGTGAGGGAAGGGAAGAGACACTGGGAGAGGAAATGGAGCTATAGCTAACCTCCTCTGCAGTGGTGGGCCCTGGAGTAAATCTCAGACCTGGTTCAAACTCAGCACTGCCACTTGCCTTTGACCTGTTCCAGCTCCTCTCACACCAGCTCCTTCATCTGCAGTAAGAGTGGAGTCTCTGGCACACAAGTCTGGAACAGGAGACATGCATGACACTGCCTGTCAAGACTTGATAGTGCAGTGTCTGGAACGTAATGAAGTAACCAAGGAGTTACCACCACACCTCACTATTGACCCTGGATGGCACATACAGAATTGCTTAGAAAGTCAAAGTGGATGCTGCAGAAGCATATAGGGCAGCTGAAACTCGGGCTTTGACTGAAGGCCCAGGAGAGTTCCTGATAGATCCTCTTCCTCCATACTAAGGCCTGCTTATTCACAGAGGCTCTCCCCTCTTCTCATCAGCAAAGCAGGCATAGTCCCAACAGCTCAGTCCAGCTTAACAGAGGACTAGATGAGTCCTGCCTAGCCCAGGCCACCTGCCACTACCATGACCTTATAAGCTTGTCAGTGTGGGATCCTCTCTCCTCTGGACAGTGTTCTAACAGGTGTGGGGTCTAAGAAAGAAAACAAGAAGTGACATCAAGAGGCCTAGGTATGAGTTGAGACTTTTTAGTCCACTTCAGTTTCCCCACCTGAAGTGTGAAAGTGATGCCTGCATTGCCCACCTAGAAGGATGCTGGCAAGGCACAGATGTCAGGAGTGGATGCTGCCCCCAGATGCCCCAAGATGTTCCCCTAGGAGCTATTTTCAGGAGGCTGCCAAACCATCTGGAATTCCAAGGAGGACTCTGATCTGCCACCAGGACTGGGCAGGGCTTAGGAAGTGGCTTCAGGGACCTGAAAGTCTATAGCCAATCCACAGATGAACAAGGGAGGAGGCAGTGGGCCTCACTGAGGCCTGCTGGGATGGCATCATGGGAGTAGAGGAGGCTGGGGCTTTCCTCAGCATATTGAGACATGTTGGCAGGTCCTGAGTCACCCAAGCAGCCAAAAGGGCAGTCTGGGTGGGGACAGCAGCATTGCCTCCCATACTCAGAGCCTCCAGGAGAGTACTCCCACTTGGCAACCCAGCCCTGCCGTAGTCCCTAGAGGACCCAGCACTGCTGAACAGGTCACTTCTGTTATACCCCTGCCTAGAAACAGTACTTAGCAAGTTGACTCTGCCTCCAAAAGCATGCCAAAGGCCATTCATTCCCCAATCTGTCTTTAGGGGCCTGGGCTCTGCACCCTGCTAGCCTCTCCATCCAGAGCTCCTTGGCTGCTTCTTTCCTTATTCTTGCAGGGATTTCAGCCCACTGAAGAGAAGCCAAGTCAGTGGACAGCATGGCAAGATCTGAGCTCTCTGGAAAAACCTTAGGAAAGTCAAATTATGATGTTGCCACTGAGCTGAGAAGCCACTCATCTGTGCCTGGAGAATGGCTGTAACTGGAGCATTTATCCCCAGGCCCAGACTTGAGGTAGAGGTGAGAAGAGAACACTTGAGTTCCCTTGAAATTGGTCATTAAATGGATTCATCCCAGAAATAGGTCATCAGCACAGACTTGCTATGATTGATCCATCCCCTCCTCCCCCTTCTCAGTTCTGAGAGACCACAACTGAAGAGGAAGAGGCTAGGAGGGGGTTCTGTTCTTTCTCTTCTCCCTCTGTGGCTGCTCTTGAGGCTCTCCTCAACATTTGGTAAATGACATGAAGCCATCTAGCCTTAGTTAGGTTCACTTCGATTCCAGAAATATGGTCTGGAGGACCAGTGCATTCATGAACATATATGCATAATCCCACATGTGCACATGTATATGTGTGCATACACAATATGCTAACACACAAACACATGTGCACCTGTGAAACAAGAACACACAAACATGTATGTGCACACAGATGCACACATTCATACACACATAAACATACATGTGAAAACACAGAAATATGCACTCACACACAACGTAAATACATAAACACACTTGAACACAAATGTACATGTGAGCACATGCATGCGCATGTACACATTTGCATGCAATTGCACACCCATACATAAGCAATTACACAGAGGCATATAGCCAGACACATACAAGCACACCAGCACAAACACAAAGGCACACTCAGATTCACATAGAAAAATAAACAATCACACGTGTATTTATGCACTTATATATACACACATACATACACATGTACACCCATAGGCACACAGAAGCACACACACATTCACAGTAACACACATATATGCACACAAATATGTGTGCATATGCAGACATACATATGTGTACACAGACTGACACAAAAACACAAGCAAACAGGCACACACATATGCATACAATGTAGACACATGCAAATGCACATGCACACAAAATGCACATTCAGATGAATCTGTGTGCACAAATGCACCACCCATGCACACAAGGGTATATATGCACAAACATGCATAAGCACACATAAACACAGAGGTGCATACTTACATGCATGAACATGCATAAATCACATGTGTATATAAAGACACATGTGTGTACATGTGCACATATGTGAACACAAGTACATATGAACATGCAAACATGCATACACATATGCACATGTGTAACTACACATCTACAGGCACAAATGCAAGGACACACATAAGCACACCTATATACATGCACAAACATGCATTTATACATATATACAGTGACCTGTGTGCCTGCCCAATTATGCAAACACCCACACACATGAGAAAAATGCACACAGGCACATATGCTCACATAGGCATATGTACACACAACAGATAGTGAATATATTTGTAAGCACATGAACACAACATATATAACCACACATGCACACCCAAACATGCATATTGCACACACATGCATATGTGCATTCATACACATATGTGCACATCCATATACATATTCAGTCACAAACATGCATACACAATCCTGCATTTGCACCCACA